TAGAAATGACGTTTGAACCCAGAAAAATCAATTTCTTCTCCTTCCTATCACTTCTTCTTTAGGGAAGAGGGAGATGAGCTGGGAGAAGCCCCAATGTCACTTGTCAACATTCCTCCCTGGGAATAGAGAGGAAACTTTCTAGTGAAAAAATGTGACCAGGGGAATAAGATTCCTTCTCATATTGTTAAAGATCTTCCTTTCTTCACTTATAGCAAAGGAAAATAATTAAAGGGGGCCTCCCTGGTGGTGCAAGGGGTTAAAACGCAACCTATGAAGCTGTCCGCCGCCTCTGCAGCACAGCTGGCCAGGGAGCTACCCACATGGCGCAGCAGACCTCTCCTTGTCTCGCCCGCTGCTCCCCTCAGCAGTGTATCTCAATCTGCCTGTTCTGCTCCCCGCTCTGTCTCTGGGGAAGCCTCTCACCCCTGCACCTCTGGCCTGTACCCCAGTTCTTATATGCATAAATCTTTAAAAAAATAATAAAATCAACCAAAGTGATTTAGTGTTTACATTGGTCAGTCCCTCAATTTTCAGAGTTCATCAATCCTTGAGCCACAATCTGTAGTATCTCATGAAAATGGTGAACCCCAGAGAAGTCAAATACAATTCTCCCTCCATACCGCCTCCCTGCAAGTGGCCTGTCAAGTCAGCTGTAGCCTGCAAAAAATATTAGGTTTTCATGCTTGAGAACAGGAGTCAGCAAACTTTTTCTGTAAAGGGCTAAATAGCAAATATTTTAGGCAATGGCTCAACTCTGCCATGTAGTGAGAAAACAGCCACAGACAACACATCATGACTGGATGAGGCTGTCTTCCAGTAAAGTTTAATGACACTAAATGGGAAATTCCTATCAGTTTCATGTGCCCCGAAATATTATTCAGTGCACAGAGAGCATTCATGTTTTTAAACCATTGATAAAATGTAAACCCATTCTCAGTTGCTGAGCCATACACAGCCAGGCAACTGGCCCCAGGTTTCTGATCCTGCTTTCAAAGCTCTTCCTTGTTCTGAGTTTGTTCAGGTAAGCTGTCAGCTTCATGCCGGCCACCGGCGCTGGATTTAAAAGGGAAAAAGCTTAACTTCAAGACTCTCACTTGGCTATCCCTGAAAACATTATTCTGGCTTTTCTGGCCATGATGGTCCCAAAATCATGTATGTAAGCTTAGAACTGCAAAAAAGTATAAAGCCATTCTCTTCTGTAATGTTCTTGTTTACTGTCAGGCTTAAGGGATGAGTGTTTCTACTTTTTGTATTATCAGTGTTTATTTTGAAGTGTGGTAACTATTGCTTCTATTTAAAAAAGTATTGTAGGGGGCTTCCCTGGTGACCTAGGGGTTAAGTCTTAGTGCTACCACCAGGATGGCCTGAGTTCAAGCCTGGCCACGGAGCTACCCACATGGCGCAGCAGACCTCTCCTGTCTCACCCACTGCTCCCTTAGCAGTGGATTTCAGTGGATCTCCCTGTTCTGCTCCCCACCCTGTCTCTGGTGAATACCCCAGTTCTTCTATGCATAAATAAATAAAATCTTTAAAAAAATAATTGTTGTAGGGCCTCCCTGGTGGCGCAAGGGGTTAAATCTCAGCACCTGGAAGCTATCCGCAGCCACTTTGAAACAAGTTAGATCTCTGGCCAGGTAGCCAACCCACATGGCACAGCAGACCTCTCCTGATTGGCCCGCTGCTCCCCTCAGCAGTGTGTTTCGGTGAATCTGCCTGTTCTGCTCCCCACTCTGTCTCTGGTGAATCCTCTCACCCCCATCGCACCTCTGACCTGCACCCCAGCTCTTGTATGCATAAATAAATAAATCTTAAAAAAAAGGTGTTGTAGAAATAAAGAACAGTACTTTGCATTCCTTAGATATTAAAACATTTTAAAAATGCCATTTTTTCCTTCTGTGTCCTGGGTTTAAGCATAGCTGGTGTGTGGTCACTCCTGGCTGGGCAGCTTCCTTCTGGCACCCCAGAGCCCTTCAGAAACTGTCCCTCCCTCCTGCCCCAGCCTTCAGGGCCTCACTCAGTACTTCCTTGGTGCCAATCCTTTGCGGGCTCCTGCTTCTCCTGTGATTCCCTGTCTGCCCCTTTGCTACCCAGGTCTCCCCCATTCCTCAGCATCCCCCTGGCCCCCCTCATCAAGCCTTCCTGCTTGAGCTCTGGTTGGATTTTTTTCTCAGCTCTAACTCCCACAGCACTTAGCCGGGGTATACAATTTAGCACTTAATTATATATTGTCTTTTATTGTTTTTATTTGTTATGTTAGTTTTGTCTTTTCCAATGAGGCAGCAGCCTCCTTGAATGCAACACATCTTGGATATTTGTCTTAACCCCTCTCGGTATTCCGGTAGAGACACAGGCAATAGTTCTGGTGCTACCAATAAGTGTTGATTGTCTTAGAGATCTTGCACAGCCACAGCTGTGAGACTTTCCACCCATCTCTGCAGTATCTGGTACTTTAATAAGTATCTCTGAAATTTATTAAACTGAGTTGAGTAATGATCAGTTCCGAGTCTACTACCCAGTTGGACAGATCTCACCATCTCTGTATCCCTTTTCTCATCTACCAAGTAGATTAAAAACCACACACAAGGGGCCTCCGTGGTGTTGCAGGGGTTAAAGACAGCACTATCAAGCTATCCGCAGCCACTGCAGCACGAGTTTGATCCCAGGCCAGGGAGCAACCCATATCGCGCAGTAGACCCCGCCTGCCTAGTCCGCTGCTCCCTCAGCAGTGGATTTCAGTAGATCCGCCTGTTCTGCTCCCCACTCTTTCTGATGAATCCTCTCCCCTGCCCCCGCACGTCTGGCTTACACGCCAGTTCTTGTATGCATAAATAAATATTAAAAAAAACCCCACAAAACTAAGAAAAACCCATAAAAAACAATTCCCTAACAGCAACAGAACAGAAAAAAAAAAAAATGAAGATAAAAACGTTTTCCCAGCCTACTTCAGAGTTATGGACAGGCCTACATGAGATTAATGTAGCTTTGAAAAATTATAGATCACACTCTATGAATGTTAGTGATTATTCCACCTCACCGTTCTTTTCCAAGGACTCACAGAGCAAAGTAGGGTTTGGCGTTTATCAAAGAGAGTAGATCCCTTGCTAATCTTTTGGAACCACCAACCATTCTCAGAGAAGTCCGAGTACAAGTGATTCGTAGAAGAGAATAAACATGATCTCCAGGCTTCCAGTTTTCGCGACAAGATATAACCGATGTGTGAAATACTCAACTGGGTGTGAGATTTTGAAATGAAAATTCCCCAGCCAAGGTAGTCTTTGTTGGTCCTTACTTCATCTACCTTTTCTGTCTTTTCATCCCCAAGCCTGTTGCTTTCTTAATTCTGTTCTGGCAAGTCTGAAGCAAAATGCAGCGTAAGGAAATCTTAGTGAAGTGGTAAGAACTTTGTTTTTGGAGTGGATGCTCTTACTTCTTCAGATTCCAAAAGGGAACTATTACTCTGGCCATGATTTATGAGTTGACGTAATTTTTCTTTTTTCTTCTTAAGTTATCCCCCAACACCCTTTTTTTGGTCTTTACCATCTGATTTTTTTTTTCGTTGTCTCTTCCTATCTTTGATCTTTGAGTTGATCAAAATACCAAAAGATATTTGCTATCATTGGTGGTATTTGTTGAGATTTTTGTTTTGTTTTCACTTATAATAAAACTATTTGAGATGAAGACTTATAAACTCTTTATTAATGCAAAATCGACTTTTTTTTTAATTAGTGCTTAACCCTGGACTGATTGTTTCCCCCTTTGGGTTAGTATTTCCAAGTGAGGCTTAATGCATACACACACAGACACACAGACACACACACACACACACACACACACACGCATTCTTCCCGGGAACGTTAACATTTAAAAAAAGAACTTTAGGAAAAGAGAATATTGAGGCCTGCTTCTCGAATATCCAGTGCTGTAGTGGGGTGGACATTTTTCTTCCAGTCGTTTCTTTTCTGAATTTTACTTAAAAGTGACTGGAGCAGTAGTGAGGGCGGGCGGAGGTTGGAGCAAGTACTTCTCAAAATATAGTGTATGTGCGTTAGAATAGGGAGGCATTGGGAGAGCTCATGATTATGTTTCTAAAGATGTGGGTGCAGGGTGGACTTTTGGTGTGAACTTGGTCAAGTGTCATAGTTTTGTTTTTAAAGCACGTGTGTTTTCCCACCGAGAGAATCGCTCCGTTTGAAGCGTTAGGACCGTGTCTCTGATGCGTGTCCTGCCAGGCCCTCGCCTGAAAATCTGCTGCCCAGCGGATAATCACCCCGTGCGGGATGAATGAAGGCAAAATGAAACCCGTTTCCTTATCTGGAAAGCCAGGGGCTGGACGTCAGCATCTCCAAAAAGGGGCCTTGTCGCCGTGGCACTGTAGTATTTCGCAGTCCGTGATGTTACTGTGTAGTCTGCGGCTCAACTGCAGGTTCGAGCCCTGCCTGAGAAGGTGCCTAAGCCCGTCGCCACCTGGAAGGATGGGGCGTCCCTGGGCCCCGTCCCCACGGAGACCCGCGGGCTGCAGGTTTCCGGGACGGGGACTGGGCAGCTTGCCCCCGCCGCGTCCCCGGGCAGGGAAGGGCACGGCGCGCCGCGGGCACCACACCTGCTCCAGCGCCCTAGGAAGAAGCCACCGCCAGTGCCCCCCCACCCGCCGTTCTCCAGCTGGGGGGCACCCGCGCGGGTCCCGGGGCGCGGGCCCCGCCCTCTGCCGCCGGGCGGCGCGGGCGGAGCAGGTGACCCGCGGCGGGGCGGGCGGCGCGGCGCGGGTTACCTGGCGCGGCGGGGCGGGGCGGGCGGCGGGGCGGGGCCGGCGGGGCGTGCGGGGCCGCGGTTGGCCGGCTTCGCGCCTGTCTCCATGTGCCGCGCGGCGGAGGCACAACATTCAAGCCCGGGGCGGGGCCGGCGCGCGCCGGGAGGAAGCGGCCGCGCGGCAGCTGCGGGGCGTGGGGCGGTGGCGGCGCGGCGGCGGCCGGGGTGAGATCGGCGGCCCCCTGGCCGGCCCGATGGAGGCGGCGGCGGGCGCGGGCGCGGGCGCGGGCGCGGGCGGGGGCGGCGGCTCCGGGCCGCCGCTGCTGAGTGAGGGCGAGCAGCAGTGCTACTCCGAGCTCTTCGCGCGCTGCGCCGGCGCCGCAGGCGGGGGCCCCCGGAGGCCGCCAGGGCCGCCCCCGGCTTGGCCGCCGCCGCCGCCGGCCCGGTGGCCGACCTGTTCCGGGCGTCGCAGCTGCCCGCCGAGACGCTGCACCAGGTGGGTACCCGCGCCCCTCGCCCGGCGGCTGTGCGAGAAGCAGGGGCGCGCGCGGCGGCCGGGGGACCCCGGAGGCCTCGTCCGGGCGCCGGGCAGGGGGCTGCACCGCCGGGGAGGGAGGCGACGCTCCGGTGCCCCCGGGGGCCGCCGGTGCCCGCGCCGCTCCGCGCTGCGCTCCCGGCTTCCTCCCCGGAGGTGACCTGACACGCCTGCCCCTCCCCCGCTCCCCTCCGGGGCTCCGCGGCCGCCGGGACCCAAAGTTTGCCCTGTTCTGGAAGTCGCGTTGGCGTTGGCTGGTGGTGCTTCCACCTCTGATGTCCGCTGCCGCCCCTCCTGCTGCAGGGATGGGAAGCGGTGGGCGTTCGCGGTACCTCGCCGGGATGGCAACTCCAAGGGCGCGTCCCTGCAGGGCCGGCGGCCCACGGTGAAGGTTGGCCGCTCTGTCGCCTGCTGACATGTTCCTTCTACCTACCTGCCTGCCTCCCTCCCACCCACCCGTCCATCTATTTCGGAACATTTGAAACTGCAAAACCTTACTGACAGGCTGCAGAACCAGGGGAACGGGGGCTATTCAGCGTCAGCGGGGGGGGGGGGCTGTCAAGCCAAAGCCAGCTGTCTGCTCGGGGCTAGCGGTGCACGCGACACGTCCAGCGTGAGGACACTTGTACTTTGCATCTTATTACTTGGACTTCCACTAGCATTGCAAAGTGACCGCTGGCCTGCGCACCTCTTTTTGGCTGCTCCATATCTGGAAGACAAGGAGGCAATGGGATGCTCCTTAGCAGACGCTGTTGTTTTGTGCTTTCTTTGCATCTTGCAGAAAGACTGGTTGTCTCTTTTGATGCCCCCAGCCGGCATGGGGAGAACAGTCTTAAGATCAGACCCAAAATATCAAATGGAGCTCATCCCCCACCCCATAGTTTCACTATTAATTCTTTCCTTTTTCGTTGAGGTGATGTTGGTTTACAGCACTGTACATGGTTTAGGGGAATAGATTTACACCTCCTCAGATGCATGTTACCACACCACCCCCACAAGCCAAGCACCCACAGTCCTTTAGAAATGAAGTCTTTCTTAAAAGCAATAGTCGGTAGGAAAGTTATTACCACCAACAGAAAACTCGGAATGGCGATTGGTATTTTAAAATCTAGTTCCAAAGGAATACTGAGGGTTTTATGGTTCACTTGCAATATCATTGTGCTGGAAGGTATTTTTTTTCATTCCTTAAGACTGTCTTTTATCCTGCGGGAGCATGCATTTGTCTATAGCGATTTGTACTCTTTCGCCTTTTACAATTTGGGATTTCTGAAACAGCAATTAGTACACACAACTGAGCTTGGCTCTTTGTCCCTTGAAAAGTCCTTGATATGTAGACAGTTCTGCCACTGCTGTTGAGCCGGACCAGGTAGAGAAAATGGTCAGAGTCTGAACACAGACCATGGCTAGTCGCAGTGTTCAGAATAGGTAACAAACTTACCAAACGCTGTTGCAACTTCTCAGCTGAAAAAAGGGATAAGTGAAGGAGGCCACACAGCAAGTAAGGGACAGTTGGGTACCTGTTCAGGCTTATTTTGTGGTCAGTAATACCTGGAATGTGATAAAAGAAAGGGGGGCATATTAAATCTGACATGTTGGTTGACTGCTCACAAGGAACTTGAGAGGGGCCTTTCCTGGTGTTAGAATCCCTGCTCCCTAGGGGTACATGTGATTGAAACAAACAAACCCAAGAGAGCCAGTACCTTTGCATGAATGAGATTAACTTCTTGATGTCTACTTGAAACCTGCTTGCAAAAAATTGTTTCAAAAGCTGGCAAAAGGGGACATCCTTAGAAGATTCTTTGTACTAAATCTCTCAGAGCTTTAACCTCCCTTATTCAGCCGAGCAAAGCAGAAGACACCCTTACCCTTTAATCTAACAAAATTGCAGTAATCCACTATTCGGGCAGGTGAAAATTAACATCAAAGGCATCCTGGGCAGGGCAATGTAATCAGAAGAGATTCAAACAAAACCAGCAGCAGGCAGGCACCTAATTTTTACCACTTTTGGTGGTATGGGGCAGGGATGGTGTGGAGGGTGGTGTGTGCACAAGCCTCTTTCCCATTCACCTTGATTTGCAGTCCTTCATGAGTGTCTGAGGCTTTCTTTAAAACAAATGCAAACTTTTTAGCCTTTCCCTGTTCAACAGGAACCTGTAAGTTCAGAATTAAGTGGCCCAACAGGTATAACTGCTCAACTCAAGGAGGTACTAGTCAGCCCTGGTAGTTTCTATGGCAACTAGCAGCCAGGTTTTCTTCCTAATAAGCATATAATTAAGATGACCATAATGTTCCAGGAAGGTCGAAAATCTTACCTGAAGTAAATGGTCTGTAAAAATACTTAATTTTGTCTTCTTGGGTGTAAAAATAAACCAGTGCACCTGTTACTTTGGTGTGGAATTGAGCTATCTTAGGGATTTTTTTTTTTTTAGTTGAAATATATTTGTATGTTATTTTTAAAAATAGATTTATTTTTTTCAGAGTAGTTTTAACAGTTTACAAAACTCGAGGGGGAAGGTACATAGCGTTCCCGTAGACCCCCAGCCCTGCACAGGCACATTATCAGCATCTCCCCCTAGAGTGATGTATTTGTTAAACTTGATGAACCTTTGTTGACACGGCATAATCACCCCAAGGCCATAGTTGACCTAGGGTTCACTCCTGGAGTTGCATGTCCCTTGGGCTAGGATGTGCACCCGTCGTTATAGCAGAGCATTTCCTCTTCAGATCCCTGGAGTTCCACCATTTCTATGCCTCCCTTTCTCGCCCCTCTGCCCCAGCCAATCACTGATCTTTTCACTGTCTGCAGAGTGTTGCCCTTTTCAGAATGTCCTGGACTTGGAATCATGAAGTGTATGGCCTTTCCAGATTGCTGTTTCACTTAGCCATTCAAGATCCCTCTGTTTTTGTAGCTTGCTGGCGCATTTCTTTTTAGAGCTGAATACTACTCCTGTCTGAATGCTCAAAGTTTGTTGATCCATTCAACAGCGGGACATCTTGGTTGCTTTCAAGTTTTTGCCAGTTATGGTTAAAGTTGCTATAAAAATCCATGTGCACCTACATTTTCAACTTCTTTGGGTCAATACCAAGGAGCGTGATTGCTGGATCCTGTGGTAAGCCTATATTTAGTTAAGTCTATTTTTTTAAAAAAAATTTATGCATAGAAGAACTGGGGTGTCGGCCAGAGGTGCGGGAGGTGAGAGGATTCACCAGAGCCAGAGTGGGGAACAGAACAGGCAGACTGACTGAAATCCACTGCTGAGGGGAGCCGCGGGCGTTTCTGCCCTCCCGTCATTAGGATGGATGATGGATCCCTGCGGTCCTGAATGCATGCCTGATGGCGGGCACCTGGAGTGGGGTGTGGGCATCGGTGGGTGGGTACACCTGGGCTGAGAGTCTGGGCTCATAAGGGCGGCGTCATGGGGTGCGAGAAGAGTGGAACCATCAGAACGAGAAGAAGCGAGAGAACAGAAGCAGCTGAGAAGCAGAGGCCACGAGAGAACACGGGAGAGAGCCCAGGAAAGAGTGAAGATTCACCCGGGGCTGGGAGGACTACCAGTCTCCTGGCCCCCGGCACCCCTGCCTGTCGTGGACCTGATAAATCCCAATCAAGGCCCAGAAAAGCCACTGAGGGCTCCAGGACTCTCCTCCTTGACCGGCCTGCTCGGGTCACAGAATACCTGCCCTGCGCCATCCCGCCGCTGCCAGAGGTCTGCTGCGCCATAGCTTGGTTACTTAGTAAGTTCAGTAAGAAACTGCCAAACTCTCTTCCAAAGCGGCTGTACCTTTTGTCATTCCCCCAGCAATGAATTCCTATTGCTCCGTGTCTTCACCAGTGTAGGGTGAATAAAAAGCATCAGGCTTTTCTGCCTTCCCGCCATTAGGATGGATGGTGGATCCCTGCGGTCCTGAAGGCATGCCTGATGGCGGCACCTGGAGTGCGGTGTGGGCATGCGTAAGTGGGTGCACCTGGGCTGAGAGACTGGGTTTATAAGGGTGACTTCACGGGGACTCCAGTAGAACCATGAGGGAAGCAGCGAGAACGCGAGAGAAAGCCGGAGAGCCTAGAAAGAGTGAAAACTTACGGGGGGCCGGGAGGACTGCCAGGCTCCCGGCCTCCTGCCCCGGTACCCCTGACTGCCGTGTACCCAGAAAATCCCAATAAAGGCCTCCAGGACTCCTCCTTTACCCAGTCTGCTCGGGTCATAGAGAACCTGCTCTGGCCCTTCCTGCCGCTACAACCAGCATTGTCAGTGTTTTGGATTTTGGCCATTGTAATAGGTAGGTACTTGTATCTCATTTTAATTGCATTTTCCCAACAACATATGATGTTGAGAATCTTTCCAAATGCTCATATGCCATCTTGAATTGTATTTTTTTAAAAAAGATTTATTTATTTATTTGTTTGTTTATACAAGCACTGGGTACAGTCAGAAGCGCAGGAGGGTGAGAGAATTCACCAGAGCGGGGAGCAGAGCAGGCAGACTGACGAAGTACACTGCTGAGGGGAGCAGCGGGTGCGGCAGGAGAGGTCTGCGCGCCATGTGGGACTCTTGCTGGTGGCCGGGGATCGAACCGGCGCTGCAGAGGCTGCGGGCAGCTTCGCAGCCCAGGTCTCAACCACTGCGCCACCAGGGGAGGCCCATATGCCATCTTGAATTGTATTTTAATTCATCGTAACCACCTATTTTAAAGGCTATTTGGCCTCTGTAGAATATCTTAATGTGCTGATTTATTTTAAAAGCAGGATTCAAATATTAGGTGAAGAGTAGAAAATTGAAAAAAAAAATGAAAAAATATGAATGTCTAAGAAACGGGTAGTTTTTGTTTACTACTTCAAGACAGTGGACTACCAACTTGGAGTGATTGGTGTCCCAGGTTTGTGAAGGATCTCATTGATAGTCAAAGGCCCGCAATTTACTAGGGTGGGAATTTAGGGTGTGGTGGGAAGTATCTCATTGATA